TGACATCATGTTCTAAAGGCTGTAGTGATGTTGCTAGTCCAGGACAAAAGACCTATGAGTTTATGAATGTTGCTTCACTGAAGTTCTTAAGCAAAGACATATTCACCTCGGAATATTTTTCCATAATTCAATATGTTCAGATTTCATAACACATTTCAAACGTCGGGCTGAGAGTTACAATTCAGAAATCTGTAACATAGAGCCAGCTGTAAAGAGTGAAATCATTAGTTATCTTTTAACTATTTTCAAGCCAATTGCTGTTTTTTTGGCTGTCTTGAAAAAAATGTGTTTAGGACAAGTCAATTCACTGTGCTTGTTCTTATGACTTCTTATAAGACCCAACCTAACTTCAGGCTGCTCTGGGTTCTTTGATATGCTGTAAATTCATCTCTCTGGAAACTTCTTGGGGGTATGAGAAAGACTGGGAATGCTTTTATGACATAAATGGGATTCCTTCCTTATCCCCACCCCAGTTAAAGGGGTTCCTGATGTCTGCAAAGCAGAAATACCAGCCCTATACATCAGGGTCACAGTTTTGTCAGAAAATATTCTATTTCATATATAACAAACAACAACAAAGTTAGTTATAACTGAATTCTTCAGCTTAGTCTTTCATTAAAATTCATTTTATTAAGGGATGACTTCAGTTACTGACTGCTTATCAGGTCAAACTCACTCTTTGCACCAAACTTAAATGTCTCATCAAGCTGTTATGAGCAGTGAGCGTGTGGCAGCTCTGCTGTTGTCTGGAGATGTATGTGGTTTTTATTATTTGTGTTTAAATAAAAGGAAAAGCCATTATAATTGCAGGATTCATTAAAACGCTCAAAACCCCCCCCCCCCGATTGACAAGAGGTTGTAATTGAAAAATGCATTTCAGTCCTAGAGACATAATTAACTCCAGCCTTACTCTTTGGTGATCTTACAAGAGCCCAGAGTCCTGAAGGCCCCTGTCTGCCATCTGAGGTATGACTACAGCCTGCACTGCTCTACCCTTTCTGCAGTGAGGCTGTGTGGTGAGAGCACAGACAACTGTGTACTGGAGACATCAGCAACGGCTGCTCTAGTGCAGTTTAGATGGTGAGGATCTCAACAGAGTATGTTCTGGTAGAGCTGTGTTTGTGCATGGATACTTCAATGGAGCTTTGAGAGGACAGTACTGTAGCAAATGAGAAAAACATAATTCATTATCAAAATAGTTATAACAAGATAAGAATACTTTGCTATGTTGGAAAACAAAAATAAATTATTTTATAAAAGACCTCTTAACTTTCTCCTTTCCATTTTGTTCCTTTTTGTGCTCAAACATATTTGCCATGTGGCAATCCCACAAGCTCAGAGTTGACCAGGAAAATTCCTGTCTGGAGGAAAAATTACTCAACTTACACAGTTTATATCAAATCAAAATTGAAGTGGTTTATTAACGTACTAACAACACATAATTAAAGTGATTAGTGAAGTATGCATTCAGGATCAATATCAGTACAATATAATAGGTAAATCACATTTTTGCTAATATTTTACAGATGTAAAATATTAACAAACATGAATTTCTAAATACTTTTCTAAAACAGCCCCAGAAGCTACCAGCACACCCAGCTCTTCTGGACATAGGGGTTTCCTACTTTGCTGGACTACCTCCAGTAGCCTGTCCCTGTTTTCTTGTGATGGGGAGCTCAGTACTGGACATATCACCCAGATCAGTGTCATCAGGCTGAGCAGAGGGGCAGGACCATCTCTCTTGACCTCCTGGTAGTGCTCTGCCTGATGAGACCCAGAGGCTGCTGGCTTTCTTCAAAGTAAAAATGACAAAGAAAAATTTTAGTGATGCTTGAAAAGTTCTGGTGGATTCGAACCACACTGGCCCAAATGAAAATCTGTCCTTAAGCATCTATAAACAAGTATGCAAGATTTTTCAGACTGTTTGTCCACATTGTAGTCTATGCCACTACAAGAAGGCTGGAGAGGAACTTTTTACATGAGAATGCAGTGACAGGACAAGAGGGAATGGCTTTAAATTGAAAGAGGGTTGGTTTAGATTAGATTTTAGGAAGACATTCTTTACTATGAGGGTGGTGAGGTTGCCCAGTGTTGGAAGGTATGGGTTAAAATGGCAAGGGGGACTAATTTGATCAAGGGATCTTGCAGCTGGGAATCACTTGATAAGCCTGTGTGAACAGCAGGCCAGTGATCATCTAGCATGGACCAAGTTTAATGGTGCCTGCATCTCTGCTTGTGTGCCTTTGCCCAGGTGTTGCTTCCAGGATCCCTTGGTTAGCAACATAACAGGAATAAATTTACTCTTTGCACTCTAGCTGCAAGTCTGTGGTTGTCCCAGCTGCCTGCTTGTGTCAACGCACACAACTGGAGAAGTTGTGGATGTCCTCTCCCTGGAAATGTCAAGGCCAGGTTGGATGGGGCTTGGAGCAACCTGCTTAAGTGGAAGATGTCTCTGCCTATGGCAAGGTGGTTGGAGCTACATGATCTTTAAGGTCCCTTTCTAACTCAAACTGTTTTGTGAGTCTATGATTCTGTGATTTTCACTACTACTGCTTCCTGTACTAGGGAAGCGAGGCTAATGCAGGCTTTCTTTCTATGTGCTGCAGCTACATCCTTGATGTCAGCTTGTGAAAATACTTGGTGTTTTGAGTTAAAATGCTGAATTTTTAGCCAATGTTATTGATCCTTTCTGCCAAGTCTGTGGAGGGATGGAAATGGCAGAACAGATGAGAGGACAAGAGGTAGCTTCTTATCTTTAGTGTGATATTATAAAGATAGTTCAGTAACATTCTTTATTTGGTGCCTTAGTGGTGTCTGAGCTATTTCCCAAATCTGTGGCATCAAGTACATGGTGCAGCTTCATGTTTTAGAGTTGTGATGTCCTGTACTGTGTGTTTCTCAGTACGAATGCTCTGGTCCTTCCGTCTGTAAGAGCTGAAAGCAGAACTGGCCTTCCTCCGTAAAATGATTTGCTAGCCTCAGCCCATAGTGTGATAGATAACCTTGCTGTATAAACAACATGATTGACAAACACTGCTTAGGAGACTGAATTTTAAATCAAGAGGTCTGAAAATAGAAGCCAAAGCAGCTACTGGATAAAGTCTGAGCCATGTTTCTTCATGGGCATTTCTAGGAAACTTTATCTCCAGAGCTGGTAAAAGGAGTGAATCAACTAATACACCCCAGAACATTTCTCTCATTCTTTTGAGTCCTTCATAAAAAGCACAGGATGCAATAAAGCAGCCTTTCCCTGAAGAGAATCAATCAGCTATCTAACTGCATTTCCTTTCTCAAACACAGATCAGATGCTGTACAAGAGAGCACAAAAGACATTACAAAACAGCCTTCCCACAATGAAAGCTTCTTCCTAATTCTCTATAATTAGAATGACTTTTGAATGAGAAACAGCCTGTACAATTTGTGCAGCCTGAGAGACTTCCTGCTCCAAGGAGCTATGAAATAATAACCTAAAGTGGGCTGCATCAGACCTTCCCCTGCAGAATTAATTTTGTCTCCTGGACATCACTGGGAGTTTTACGATGGATTCAGAATATTTGAAGAGAGGGGAACAGTGTGATAACACAGTTTGCTCTCTGTTTAACAAAGACCATGATCTACAAATTTTCACACTTAGGCAACTTCTGGTGGAGCAAGACACCCTCTTTTGGTGTCCAGTGTTTTCCTTGGCTTCCTTCTGACCCTGGTGACAGCTGTATGTGCTGCATTGGTCCTAAATCCAAATGCTGACTGATGCCAGCTGATAAATCAGAAAAAGTTTCATGCCAAGTTTGCATCAAGGTGCCCTTCAAAATCTTTCTTGCTGCATTATGTTTACACCACAATTTATAAGGACTGACAGAAAAACACACTGTTGTTTCAAAACAAGTATTATTCAATGTTTATTAAAAGCAGGCTATTTCACCCATTCATACATTCTTGAAGGCAGTTTAAGCCTTCTGTGTACATAAATACATAAAGTTAAATAACCCACAGTTAATAGATATCTGTTTTTATTATTTATATTGCCCAAAGAAATGGGACATGGGAGAGGTCTGTGACTTTATTTATTTAACCTACTAGTTGAGTTATATGCATTCTATGGCAATGTCATAGTCTAGGACAGTGAAATTATATTAAAGAAAAGCTTTGTTTGCTAAGAATGGTCTTGGGCCACTGTAGAGGTACATGGTGGGAAACTGGACTGAAAATACCTTTGGTTGTATAACTTTTTTACTTTGCGTACTGCATTAGAGTAAGCATTCAGTCCAACAAGCACTGATTTTTCCTTTGAAACAAAAGATTTTATTGAAGTATTTTTCTAATAACGGGTCGGTGAACATAATTAACTTTTAAAAAATTGGACCCACTTGGAATACCTACTGATTTTAATGGGAGACAGAGAAATGAGTAGCTTTTTATCTTTTACAATTTCTGTTTCTTCTGCTATCCAGTGGTAACTTTACTTGAGCACAAAAACTGTTTAGCTACATAAATAAGTCATGGAAATCAAAACACACAAAGAAGGTATAGTTCAAATTAAGTTTGTAAATTACTTGTATATTGCAAAGGCTGTATTAGCTCCTGCAACTTCTGAAGCAAATACAGATGATGCTCTGCAGTATGGCACTTATTTCATGACTATTTTATACTTTGCTACAGATCTTGCATCTGCTTAATATTTTCACCTGTCTCCTGATACCCCTTATGTATCTGGTAGCCACTTGCTGCTCTTCAAATGAGAAAATTTCAAACCCATGCACTCCAATCCCCTAACTCCCTGCCACACTGCTCTGGTCTAATAACCTTTTTTTCATGCAAATGGAGTAGAGATCGGTGTAAGAAAAGGGATCAAAATTAAGCTTCTTATAGGAATGTCATCCTAAATTTATTCAACATTTCACTTTCTTGGACTTCCCCTTTCAGTCTTCCTGAACGACTTTGACTTTTGTTCTCCCAGTGCAATTACAAAACCTAGATGTTTAAAATTCCAAACACTGTGGCAATTTTCATCAAGACTTTATTACTATACATTAGCAGGGATATAAGAATGGACAAATCATTGCATCATTGCTTTACTTTCATGGATCTATTATTTCCCAATTCACCCACCACAGTCCAGTTCTGAGAGCAGGTTTTAGAGCTCACTGAGAGATTTCATGTTATGAATTCTACATTTTGTATATAATTGTTATTTCAGTACATCCAAGTAAGTAAAACTCCACCTAGAAAAGCAAATACACTATGTGGCGAATAATAAAAAAGGAGACACTTAATACTACATTTTTGAATTGGTCTATGTGCTATACGAGCTTAAATAACTTCAAAACCAAAAATCATCTGCACCACTGCTCCTTGTACTTGCTCTCTCTCTGCTTTTTAACCGTAACATGTCCATGACACTGCGTGCATATATGTCTCGCAAATTGACATTGATATTTGAATCGCTGGATGAGTTCTTCATGAGTTTCTTTAAAGCCTCGCGCTGCCGAAGAGCAGCTTCTTTTATCTTCAGTGTAAAATAACAGGCAGAAAAACGGTCATTTATTATAGCTATTGGCAAAGCCAAAACCAGTATTCCTGATAGAATACACATAAAGGCTACTACCTTACCAATGGTAGTGTCTGGTCTAATGTCACCATAACCAACTGTTGTCATGGAAGTTGTTGCCCACCACCAAGCACCAGGTACGCTTGTGAAAGTGGTGCCCGGCACACCTTGCTCAACAAAGTACTCCACAGTGGAAAATATAGAGATTCCTACAGAGAGGAAAAGCAGCAGAAGGCCAACCTCCTCATAGCACTGAGCGATAGTCATCCCAAGAGAGCGCAAACCTGAAAGACAAGAAAGGCTGTCAGTAGGTTGATTCATGTAGCTGTCATCACAGCTTTGCAAAACATCTCTTATCTAAAAGCTGACTGCTTTATGTTTTTCTTCAACTGCTAGTGAACATGTTTTGACAATCACAAAAGCAATAATGTTGGAAAAGACCTCCAAGATCATCTACTCCAACCTGTAACTGAACACCACCTTTCAGCTAGATTATAGCACTAAGTGCCACATCCAGTTGTTTCATGAACACTTGCAGGGATGGTGACTCTACCACCTTCCTGGGCAGCCTGTTCCAATGCTTAACCACCCTTTCTGTGAAGAAATTCTTCCTGATGTCCAACCTGAACTTCTCCTGGCATAGCATGAGGCTGTTTCCTCTTGCCCTGTCACTTGTTGCATGGGAAGGAAGGCTGACCCCCACCTCGCTACAACCTCCTTTCAGGTAGTAGTAGAGAACAATAAGGTCCCCCTTGAACCTCTTTTTCTCCAGGAGAAACAATGCCAGCTTCCTCAGCCGCTCCTCATATGACTTACTCTCTAGACCCTTTACCAGCTCAGTTATCCTTGTCTGGACTTGCTCCAGCACCTCAATGTCTTTCTTGTAGTGAAGGACCAAGAACTGGACACAGTACTTGAGGTGTAGCCTCACCAGTACTGAGTACAGGGTGATGACAGCTTTCCTAGACCTGCTGGCCACACTATACAGGCCAGGATGCCATTGGCCTTCTTGGCCACCCGAGCACACTTCTGGCTCATGTTCAGCTTCCTGTTGATCAGCTCCCCCAGATCCTCTTCCACCAGGCAGCTTTCCAGCCACTCTTCCCCCAGCCTGCAGTACTGCATGGGGTTGTTGTGACCCAAGTGCAGGACCCACCACTTTACCTTAAGGAAACTCATACCACTGGCCTCAGCCCATCCAGCCAGCCTGTCCATATTCCACTTCAGAGCCCTCCTACCCTGAAGCAGATCAACACTCCCATCCAACTTAGTGATATCTTCTGTCAGCTCCCTCGTAATCCTAGGATGAATACCATCTGGACCCACAGACTTGGATTCTGCTCCCTCTCCCTGTCTACCAGCTCAGGGGCCTGGTTGCCATGAGGATAACCAGTCTCTCTGTTACAGACTGAGGTAAAGAAGGGATTAAGTACCTCAGCCTTTTCCTTATCCTTGATGATAATGATCCCCCTACATTCAATAGAGGATGGAGATTTTCCTTGGCCTTTCTTTTGTTGTTAATGTATTTATAAAAACACTTTTTATTACCTTTCACAGTGATGGCCAGATTGAGTTCTAGTTGCACTTTTGCTTCTCTAATTTTCTCTCTGCATGACCTAATGTAATCCTTGTGCTCTTCCTGAGTTCTGCCCCTTCTTCCAAAGGTCATGAACTCTCTTTTCTTCCGAGTTTCAGCAAAAGCTCCTTGTCCAGACAGGTTGGTCTTCTTTCCCACTGGCTCGTCTGTAGGCATATAGGGATGGCCTGCTCCTGCACCTCTAAGATTTCTTTCTTAAAGTATGTCCAGCTGTCCTTCACCTCTCTGTTTTTATGAGCTGTTTCCCAAGGGGCTCTCTGAACTAGTGTCCTGAACAGGTCAAAGTCTGCCCTCCAGAAATTCAAGGCAGTGGTTTTGTTGAGCTCCTTCCTCACTTCAGCAAGAATCAAAAAGTTTATCATTTCATGGTCACTATGCCCAAGATGGCCTCTAACCACCACATCTCTCACAAATCCTTCTTCGGGTCTAGCACTGCCCACAGGCTAAAAAAGAGGTGCTGTTCTCAACACTACTGGGAAAAAGGGATTTAAAGAAATAGATCATAATCTTATACTGAACTTCTGACATAATCTCTAGTTCCTTAATACAGAGCATATAAATTCTCCTCATTACTTCTCATTTGAACCATGTACACATATAATTTAGCCAAATTAACCTATTTTGATTTAGTAATTGGCTATAAGAGAAGATCTAGCATGGTTTTTAATGTTATCTAAATAACTATTTAAAAGCACACTAAAAGAACCTGCTTCACAGTTTGAGGCTGAATGCACCAAGCCTCTGTTTTCCAGCCATTGTCCTGTTTTTCTCTTGGACCAAGCAGCCCTCAGCTACCAAATTTGTGGTACCAGGTGTGTGCTTAGAGCCCAGTTCAGCTCACTCAGTAACTTTTTTTTTCGTTAGGGACTGTTTCCAATCCTTTTATAGTTGTCGCAGACTCTCTTCGACCCCTTTTTCCCCCCAAAAAACTATCACCTTGTATCTGTGGACATCAAAAAAAAAATACAGTTTTCCAGTAACAGCCGCACTTTGCCAAACTGGAGATGGCAAAGCCTCCCAATGCAAGCTTGTAATCCTGTTAATTCACTGATGTACTGCATCAGTCCTACTGCCTGTGAGCTGCACAGGGAGTTCAGATGCAGCCGACCACTCTCCATAACCCCCTACATTCCTTTCAAAGCTGCTGATTCAAGGTTACAGTGCCTGACAAAGCAAGCAGGAAAGTAAATCCAAAAGTAGTGAAATGGATAAATGTTACACACATAAACAATGAAGGAAGATAACAAGGTACCAATTCAGCTGAGACACACGGGAGACTGAAATTATCTTTTGAATCACAAGTGACTTTGGATTGGTTTTTAATACTGTTCTTTAAAAATGTGCTATGTTTTCTCTAATAAATGAAAAAACACATTCTTTATGAATTACTCTTCATGGGGTAAACTTATCACTAAGCTAGTGTTTGCAAAATAGCTTACTGGAGCTCTGCCTCTACTTGCAGACTTCACAAGCAATTTTATTTGCTTTTCCTTCCACAGTCTCAAACTACAAGATGTTAAATGTCTTGCTTTTGGCTCTTTCTTTTCCCCTGCAGGTCTAGCGGGTTTTAAAGCTTTTGTTTATGCACAGCCAAAAATGGAAGTACACACTACAGTTTGTAGGAAATGTTTTGTTAGTTTTTTCAATGCTATCTGCTAACAACTCCAGTTAAGAACTTGCCCCTATCAAAGTTTTATATTACTGTAACTATGATCTGTTGGTTAGAATGTTTATTACAATGATATAGATTAAATCTGTAACACAAGGGGAATAAGATATATCAATGAAATCTTTTCTCTCTTATGACTACCTCCATATTTTGGAAACACTAATATCAGTAGTGCAAAAGCTCTGTGAGATAACTGCAAGGACCCAGATCAAATTCTCATCTTCCAAGGAAATTACTATGATCCAATTCTCTGTAAAACTTCCTACTGAACAAGGTAGTAGGTCCTTTCAGGTGACCTAGGAAGAAGGTACTCCAATTTAAAATTATCCCTGTAGCACTTGTTTTCAAAGCATAAATTAATACGATAAAGTCAGAGTTTGTACCTTATGATGGATCTTGAGAATACTATAGCTAGAAAAAATGCATCTCTCACATAAACAAGATTAAAACAAGGAGGAACAGAACAGTGACTGTTGACTCTTTGTATCACATTGATGACACCTTCAGTAAAATAGTTTTTCTATGGTTAATTATTCTAATTGTTCAGGAGTCTGATTTTTTTATTCTTACTATTCTTAGTTCCATTATCCTCACCTGAAATTATGATATAGTTCTTCATGTCTTTAGATGAAGTCAGGAGACATTTTTAGACAAATCTATGAATCAGACAAGTTACTGGACTCCATATCTCATTCTAAGTGAGAATCAGGTGGTATATAATCATATGTATAAAGTATTCTACTATATTATTTCGTAACTTTTTAAAACGTCTATGAGCTCTAGCACATGGCCAAACTAGGGGAGTTCCAGCACAGACACCTCAGCAAGTCTTACGGCTTCCAATGAGAACTCCTTGCCCGGATATGTGACAGCTTGGTTACTCATGCTTGGAAGGTGCTAAGGTGCTGTAACAGAGTTGGCGTGAGGCTGGCAAGCAGCCCCAGCCCTGGGAGTAGGAAGGGGAAGCATTTCTGCCATTCAGGTCAAGTTCCATCTCTTTATTGCTCAAAAAGACTTGACACTACAAGCTGATATTCAGGAGCTTCAATTTACACCGTGTTTAAATAATCCTAAATTTTTAGCACTAAAAGTGCTGAAGTTTCACTTTTTCATGTCTCCAGCAGCATGACAGCCTGAAATATGTTACTGTCTTTTCTCAAACATATGCCCATTGCCATCGCAAGTAAGATGCTCACATCCTACTTCTCAAGAAGTCCCTCTGTAAGTGCTTCCCAGAGGAGGACCAGCAAAACTTCAGAGAAAACAAGGCCCCAGGAAGAAGACAGCAGCTGAGAAGCATCAGAGAACAAGATAAATGCAGGTTCACTTCTCATCTATTCTTGAAGGGACTAAAATCCCTCTAGCTAGAGGGTGAGACTACTCTTCCAAGATATCAAAATTATGGATTTTAGCAGCATTTCCTCTGGCAGAAGATCAAAACAGTGAGTTTCTACATTTAAATTTAGCATTCTGGACCTAAATGGGCAGCAACTGAACTACCAAAGAAGCAAGCACAGTGATGGTAACACTGCTCTGAATAGTTTAAACAGATATGTATGTTGCTTTTTGTACTTTGAAACTGGTATTTTGGTCCCTGTAAAAAGAACGAATATTTTGGTTCCAGCACACCTCCAGATTAGGAAACTAGATTTTTATATGATTAATTCACTTCTAGCTAACACGGAATTATTAAACTTAGTATTAAAGGCACTCAACACTGTGACACACACTGTGGTAATACTGAATAATGACTTTAAGAATAAATAGGACCAAGTGTTTTGGCCATCCATGAAAGTTAATGTACTTGAAGTTTGCAGTTACACAAGCAGCTCAAACATCTGGTTTCAAATTGATAGAAAGAGTAATAGAACTGAATTTCACACATTCATTCTGTAACAGTAAAATGCAATAAACCAGAAACTAGAATCAATATACTTTTGGATGACAAAAGTGCCTTGATGAGATTAAATGGTTTTTTTTTTTTATTTTCAAAATACAGTTCGAGAGGAATGCATTCACATTAGTGCTACCTTCAAAGCTGGTATAATCCTTTCTTTCAAAAAACTTCTACCAAACCCTGCAAAACTTATAATGAAGCAAAACTAATACACTGCCAGACCAAACCAAGCTTCCTCTCAACTGCTTTCTGAGGGACAGTTATGCATCAGTATAGGAATAATCTAGGGTTGAGAGTAAGTTTAAGATATCTCCCAAACCCCTACGATTATGCTTAGTAGCATCAAAGCTACTCCATCCCATTGTTCATTGAGAACAAAAATAGAGACATTCTGCTGTTGTGAGCACACTGTAACTCCTGCTGAACTAGGGCCAACTCACAGAGATGGCTTTCAAAACAAATGGACAGGCATCAACCAATTCCTGCTCCATGGTTGGAATCCTGGAAGAGTACACTGGGTGCATTTTAAGAATGATCATCACCACCTTCAGAACACGCTAATATTGCCAGGACAGAGACCATGATTTACTACTGGCATCTAATTTTTCAAAGCTTTGGCAGAAATCCACACGAAACAGAGGATTATGCCCAGGGACTACTGTTGCAGGCAGCAAAACTAAGTAGTAGCACTGCTATGGCCAAAAGTACCTGTCGAATGCCTTCCCAGCTTCAACATCCGCAGGGCTCTGAGCAGTCTCAGCACTTGGACAATACGTCCCACGTTCTCCAGTTCTTGGGAGCTCTCACCACCACACAGGCTCTCTACCAGCAGGGTGATGTAGAATGGCAAAATAGCAAGGAGGTCTATAATGTTTGCCACACTCCTCAGGAAGCGACACCGATCTCGTGCACACAGGAACCTCAGAACAAACTCCACTGTGAACCACGCAATGCACAGGTACTCGAGGGCATCCAGTAGTGGTGGTGCCAGCCAGCTTAGCTCTACCGAAATCAAAGCCATGTTGGCAATGGACACAACAACAAAAACCATGGACAAAGTGCCAAAAGTCCTGGCTGCTGCAGAGGAGCCAGGCTTTTCCAAAACTTCCCAAAGTTTCTGTCTGACATTGGGACAGAGGGTACCAGAAAAGTCCTCTTCTTCATCTTGGGCATCCAGTTCTTCTGCATCTTTCTTGATGTCTAAGGCTTCACTCAGCTCCTTTCTCCTGAAGTACCTGTCCAGGAACCACCCCCAAAAGATTTTTAATACTAATATGCATATTCTTTTCATCCTGTACCATGCAAGTCATCACACATTAATACACATTAAAGTATACCATACTCAGAAAACCCTAATATCAAGCATATGGTTGAAGATTTTGTTAACTGAGACCCTGCAGCATGTTTCCACTGACCTGATGTATTTCTATTTTGCCATTTCATATCAGCGACACTTTCTATGTGCAGAGTAATTTTATTCTGATATTGTTTTATTTATATGGATCATGTTGACTACAGCAGAATCTGCTGCATGACTAACGTGCACTCTTGTAAGCAATTCTGGCATCCCCAGATCCTCTGTTTTTAAACGGTTCTCAGTTTGATTAATGATATTGCATTTTTATTACATTGGTGTGTATTTGCAATACTAAAACTGATGGCATATTAAAAGCCAGAAAATGAAGTTCTGATCAATACATACTAAGATGGCAAAGTATCTTTCTTTTTTTAAATATATGGGTCGTCACACAAAGTGCACACGGATTTGTGCTGAGCAAAATTTACAGTCTGCAAATAAATAATTTGTCAAAGCAAGAGTATATTTACAGAATAATTGCATGAAACAAAAACATACTGAAAGTACACCAGAGAAGTAGGAGCTTTCAGTTACACCTGTCAGGGAAGGAAGAAAGGGATGAAAACTGGGCTCCAACTCTCTCAGCTACAGAACTAAACCCACTAGCATAAGATAACTGGTATCCTTTTGAGGTGAGATTGCTTGTTTCTTTTCAGTAATTTTGACATAACTGCTTTAGATAAATAGCGCTTACACTCATTAGAAAATTCATTTCTTCAACACAAAAAAATCAAACCAGTACCATTAAAAATGGTGGAAAAAATTAAAATGAACTGCAAATAGAATTAACAGAAACATCCTGGGGGTGGTTCAGTCGAAACCCACCTCGTTCCTAAACTGCCTGTTACAATTTGTCTCCAGTGAGCCATGTTCCTGCTATTGCTACCCCCTCCCTGTAAGCTGCTACATCCATGTGCGATGCTTCCTTTCATGGCTCCTGCTGGAGCCATGCCACCCACACTCAGCCTGGCAGGTGACCAGCCCCCCCTTCTGCCTCTCCTGCTTGGATTTGGAAATCCTTCAAAATGAAAGTGTGGGGTGGGGAGGATTCAAATCCTCACAGCATCGTGCCTGACTATACATCCAATCACTCTGATAACCTCAAAGTGAATGACTGAAGGGGTATCTCTCCTTTCACAATCTTTTTCATCTCCAGCATTGTCCTCTTCAAACATCTGAGCTTCTATGGCCAGTCTGAAGCCAGTACAGGACAACCCAGACCCTGTTTCTTTTAGGGTCTCACTATCTTGACCTCACTGCTAACCTGTTGCTCAGCAAAGGTTATCTGTGACCTCCCCCAATACATCTCCTCCCAGTTTTGACACCCATTCACCTCTAGAGCAGCACTTGGGGCTGAATTCATCCAGTTTTGAGCACACTTTTCTGAATGCGCTGCTACCTCACCTATCCTCGCTGCTGGATGTCCCTAAATGCAAATCAGTGCTAAGCTCACCCAGCCCACTATCCCACAAACCTCATCTTCCCAAAACTCACCGATCTCTGCAGCAGGAATCAATGCTGAGCTCATCCAAACCCCAGTACTGGATCTCTTGCAGGAAGGAGAGTGCACAAAGCTGCTCCATGACATGCAGCCTCCCTGTCTGGTAGTAATTCAGGATGTAGTGAAATGCCTGTGAGCTCCGATCAAAGAAATATTCATTCTCCACAAGGTTGGCATCATCGCAAAGCTCAAGGAGGCCAGAGGCCACATCCCGGGCAGCAGAGACCACTACAGCCAGTTTGCCAAGGCGGGTGTCAGGGTAGCAAGACAAAGTTTGCTGGGACATCACAAAGCGGCTGCCTCCTACATTGATAGTAAAGCAGTCCAAGGGGGGAATGACCTTCTGGAGCAGGGGCCCCTGCTCTTCCTCACTGGAGAAAACACTGGAGTTCAGCGAACCCAGGGACATGCTACTCCCTGGTTCGTCCAGGGATGCTTGGGAAGAAAGAGACATGCAGCAGGGAGGCGACTTCATCCTGTAGCTGCCAGCAGCAGCTCACACTCTCCTGGATCAAAAACACAACAAAGCTGCAGAGAAGACTGCCCCGCCTGGGGGGCGGCCAGACCAGGCTGGGAATGTGTCCCTTGGCTCTGGCTACCGTCCCAGGGACATCTCACCGCCCCCGCTGCCTCCGAGCGGTGCCTCCACCTACGCGGAGGTCAGGCGGGGTGTTGCACGCCCAGCGCCGCCCGCACCCCCGAGGATGCTGAAGGAGCCACGGTACCTGAGGCGGCGTCACCTCGTGCTGTCCGCGCCGGCACCATCCGCCCGCGACGGCCCCTCCGCTTCAGCGCTCATCTCCAGCCGCTGGGTTGGGATGCGGGAAACCAAGCGGGACGACACAACACGGAACACTAGCTTCAGCGGGGACGCCGGGCAGCGCCCCGACAGCAGCCCGGGGGACTGCGCCGCTCCCCTGCTCGGCCCATCCCCTCCCGCGCCGCTCCCCTGCTCGGCCCATCCCCTCCCGCCCCGCGCCCGCACTTCGCCCGGGGCCGCTGCTCCCGGAGATAAGCCCCGCGCCCCTCGGCCCCCGTTTCCGGGGCAGCCGCCGCGGACCGGGCGAATAGGTACGGCTGCTCCCCACGGCCGGCCCGGCCGGCCCCCGCCCCTGCCCCCGCCCCCCTCACCTGCCCCCGTCTCACCTGTCCGCCGCCCGCCTGTGCCGCCCCCTCGGCGGCAGCCTCCGCTCGCTCCCCCGGCTCCAAACCTCTGGGCAGCGCCAGCGCCCCTCCATGGCGGGTCATGTGCTGCGAGGGGCAGGCGGGAGCGGGGGCTGCGCGGGTGGGCCGGGCGGAGCCCTTACGGGGCCGAGCCGCCCCCCGCCCCGCCCGGCACGGCCCTGGCCCTGCGCCGGCACGGCCCGGGACTGCGGGACCCGCTCCAGGCGGGTCGGGATCCGCTGTGTGCCAGCGCTCCGCGCTCCCTGCGCCCACCGGGTGCTCCCTCCGGGACAAACCGGCCCCTGAGAACCTGTCCGAGAGAGTTCCTAGGGCTGTTTGGAAGTCGCCCTCCTGTACTGTGTGGAACCCCAAACGTGTTTCTAAGTAGATAGCGCATCCTCACTTAGGCTGCCTGCTCCTACGGCTCAAGTCTGAAGTCACTCGCATAAAGGCCAGTGGGTGTGTGTGAGCGAGCCTGTTTTAACTGTCCTGCAGTCAACCTGTTTTCAAAAATACTCTGGAGTATCTTTGTCACTGTCCTATGCTGACTTTTTAAGTCCTCAGTTCACCCTTTTTACTATATTTCCTTTTCTCCTATAAAACAGTTATTTCTGAAAAATTGAAAGTATTTGCTCTGACAAATCGAAAATATTTGCGTTTGCGAATTTGTATTTTCTGCTACCTCTGACTCCTTGCCAGGGCGGGCAGCTGCTGGCATTGCAATGGAGCCTCCCAGGAGGGGAAATTCTGGAGCACACAAAATGTGGCATTTTGTGTTGTGCCACCAGCATCATGTGCTTTTGATTCCACTTGTTGCATACAGCTGTGTCCAGTTATGCACATTTCTAACATTTACTGCAGAGTAGTCTCATAGCGGTTCATCTTTTGGATGCTGGTAATCCATATTTTAAATGAAGCTGAGCTGAACATTTACTGTATTGCAGCATTGCAACACCTGCAGCAACCTCTCTATTCAGCACTTGTTGGCACAGAAATCTGCTCCAAGTGACTGTTGGCAAAGGTATACACTGATCAGAGAGAATCTGGTAGAGAAGAGCAAGGGTGGGGTTTGTAAGTCATGATCCAAGAAGAAAAGACAGAGTGGAAGGGAATGAGCATTGTAATAGTCTTCAGACACATAAAAAGCTGCTCACAAATATGAAGGCTAATATACTCTGTTCTCCTTGGACACACTGGACAGGTGTACAAATTCTGTATTTCAAATGTGTCGTAAAAAAATAATTACTTATTTGCATAGACATTTTACTTTTTATTGTTAAAACCAATCAAATTTAAAAATAATTTAAATGAATAAATACAAAACTTCATTCATTTTCCTTTGACACTCTCAACAGCTGCTGTTATGCAGCTGGTTCTCAGGAATCGCCCATTTTTAGTCCAGGATTGCCTTTCAGGAGTTCAGTCCCTCTGATGGATAGCAATTAAGCCAGCATTTAATTAAAAGTAATAATCAAAAAATTACTTAAAACTGTGAGACCAATTTGTTAAGACCATCAACGGGAAGTACCTCCGAACAGCAAGATGCCTTACTGACTGTAATAGAGCATCGTTGTTCAATCATTAAACTACTAACTCAACCTCTTTTCGGTAGTCATTTTTTCCATCAACCAGAAAGACTTTTTCAGGAATATTTTCTCCATTAGAAGAGAGATCTGAAAACACTCCCATCACAGTGATTCAAGGGGTGGATGCTTTCAATTACTTCAGATCTACTGGTGTTTCTAAAAGCCTGGCTATAAGTTTTGATTTTGTCTAGTCAAAGTGAGTATCAAATGCCCAGCCTCATTAAAACTGTGGAGCATTTTCTCATAAAATACTCTGATGTATTATTTTCAGCACATGTACAGGACTTTGAGAGACAAAGTTCATCCTTCTGTTTATTTATGTCCTTTATGGAATAATGACTGCATACAGATATGTCACTTCAAAGTAAATTTTTTGTCTGATTATCAGCTGTTCAGACCAGAATGTTTTCTTCAAAGCACTAGAGGAAAGCCATGTGTTAAGGATATTCTTTCCCTTAGTTTCATGCATTCTTCTATTCACTCCTCACTGTAGGAAAGCGACATCACCAGCAAAATACCATAGTGTTCATAACTTCCATAATGTGAACTCACATCACCACAATTAGATGGGAGATCCACGTATGATATAGCATCTTAATTCTGAGTGCTGGTTCTCTTCTAGTCATAAACTTAGATTTTCATTAAAAAAGGAACTTTCAGAAAACTGTTGTGAAAATTATTTTCAAATGTACCACTAAAAGAAATCTGAGACATTTCAAAGAAATTAGAAAAATGTGTTATGAGTAGAAAGGCTCAAAAATAGACAATTTATTTTTCTACCACTAGAGACACAAGAAACAGGCACTACTGGCATATATTTTGTTTTCTGAGGAACTCTTGAAGGAGATGCTATTCATTGTTCTTACTCATTTGTATATGAGGAACCAAAGTAACAAGTTTTGTAATTTTATTATTCCTTGCCAAACTGACTCAAGTAACCATATTCTTATCTCCCTGGAGCAGTGGAAAAACCGCTATAACAGTACAAAGAGTCATTTGATGTTACTCAGTCTGCCAGTGAAATGCTGCTGCTGAAGTGAACCATGGACATTTCCAAGATGGTTTGGCTCATGGAATTTGTGACGTTGGATAGAACCATGCCTGTCTGGTTCAGAGCTGTGGTTCAGACCCAAGGGGTTACTGTACTGCTTTGTCATGTCAGGATATCTGCGACAACTGAATGCTAGTGACATCTGTCTGAACTATTGTCTTTACCAATGCTATGGCTGATATTTCCCTGGTATACCACTGACTGAAAAAACAGATTGCATTATTTCAAGAGATTGTACAAAAAAAAAATTTGCTGGAATACTGAAACATGAGTTGCAACCCAGTATGTCTGTTGTGGGAGTTGAAAAATTTGCTTCAGCAAAAAGCCAGCTGTTACAAAAACCTCTTTTATAATATGTTTTCCTGATATTCTCTACTCATGTTGAAAGCTATGATTTTATGGCAATTGTGTAGTCACTTTTTCCAGCTGGTATACTGTGATATACAGAAAAAGCCAGGATGTGCAGATGCCAGCATTTGTCCTTATCTTTTCAGGTAGCCTTGATTCTCTTTTTAGAGAAGAAGTGCTTCACAATCAACTGATTGTGAGTTACTGTCATTTCTGGCACATTATATTTCCAAATTTTTAAAGTGTTTTGATCTCATATATTAGTCTGTGTTTGGAACTTAAAATCTGATTTGCTCTCCCAGATCTTATGTGGTAGAAGAGAGGGAAAGAATTAGGAAAAAGTATGATAGGTAGGACATATCGAGGGAAAACTTCCTCCAGGAACATCTTCTTAGTTTTCAGCAGCACAGGAATTTCATAAGTGAGAGGCTGCATGGAGCCTAACATGTTTAATAACCTTTTATGATGCTGCAAGTTCTTGTTTGAACACATTTCTTTTTTGATGTTGATAAGACTTTGTTCAAGATTCTCCACAATTTAACTGTGCATTTAACTGGGTGAAAGATCCCACTCAGTTCTGTTAAATTGTCCTTCAGTCTGGTGCTGTGTTTGCTGAATAATGGTGTCCTGCTCATGTTGCCAGCACTATTCATGATTTTTCTGACGTCTACCATACAGTAGTTTCTATGGAAGTGGTCCATTTCAATAACATATATTTAGTTTTTTATATGGATCCAAGTTTTGTGAGTAATAAATCATAGCAAGTGTAAAAATTAATGGATGTTGGCAGTTTTAGTATTTGTCTGTTGCAAATTTTGTAAAAGATGCAAGCCATTGAGCCCTGAGTTCCATTGCATTCAACACAAGATATAATCTGTATCATAAACTCCATTCCCGTCACACAGATCATGAGTCACTCCTGCAAATGACAGTGGTACTGACTAGATCCTCTGCTGAATCTTCCCCTTTGCTTAGTGTGAAGCAGGGCTCTTTGGGAGCAGTTGTGGTTCCTTTACAATCTAGTTATCTGAAGCCTGCCTTCCTTTCATATAGTCTGAGAGCTGCTGTAATGTCACTTTTGCAATAACAGGTGAGAAAATACTAAACCTAGAAATTCTGTAGACAACTCTCTGGTGTTTCCTTTGGCAACTGAAATAAGAGCTTATTAACACAGCTTTATTCCCTCCAGGGATATTCTGCTCTTCTTGTGGAAATGGTCCAGCCAAAACCAGCCAGATCTCACTTCCTTTGAGCTAGCTGCACAGAACAGACAGATCAGAAGACACACAGTTTGGTTCACATTGTGTGAAAACAGTTTAAGAGAGTATGGAATCAGGGCTATGTTAAGAAAGCTGTTTTCAGTATCTCTGAACACTACCCACTTTCAGACCCTATTTATTTTCTTGCCTTTTACAATGTGGTAGGAAGTAAAAAAAGCATAGCTGGGGAGGTAGTTCTGTAGAGCAACTTACATATATGAGCAGTTTTATTTTCAAAGTAAGGGATACCTTTACATCCACCAACTGCATAGGGAAGCAAGTTGCTGACATTTTCTTCTGAAATTGTAATGGAAATGGGCTTTAATATATAAAACTTGGTTTGGTAAACATATGTCTAATGCTAGGCTGGATGTTATTCTCACTGTTATTGGATTGGTGAAGGGGATTAATAAGAATTTTCAAATTTTAATTTTAGCTGCATTAGGTCAAATCCCCAAAGTCCTCAGAGATGAATAAAAGATATGCAATCATAACTGACTGTTGACCTACCCAATGCAATTTTAGGAGCTATTACTCTCCATCCTCCTATCACTGAACATGTACAACCCAGCAATGCCAAGGAAGATTACATATAAATATTGAGAGGAAGAATACTTTTCTTTAAACAGGACAGTGCTTTTACTCTGAAAGAAAGCTTCTATGGCAAAATCATGCCTTATTCACAATAAATTTTAAAATAGATCAAAGAGACTGAAGTCCTTTAACATAGGAAGAACTTTAAAGCAACCAGTCTGAGATTTAAACCCATATTAACGGAGACAGAATAAACATTAAATGCATGCCACAATCTATGTATTTTTCCTGATGCTGTCCCTGCTCAGGATTACTTGTTTTAT